CATAGCAGCCCCCACACAGGGCAGACCAGAGGGGCAGACGGTTAGAGCGCTGTCACCAACAGCCCTAGAGCCAGGACTGGCAGGAGTCAGGGGACCCTTCATTCACCTTGCCTCCTGATGAGGGCACCTTTAAGGAATGTTCTCCACTGTCATCTAGGGTTCTCCGGCATCATTCAACCTGAGCCAACGGCAGTGATAACTTGCTGGGTGATGTACCCTCTATTCACTCTTTCCCTTTTTGGTCTCATTTCCACAGACCCCTATTTCCTGGAATCACCATGCAGATAAGCCGTTTGCATTCAGATATTTGAATGTGGAAAGATTTGCTTCTGGGGAGTCCAACCTAAATTAGTATCTGCCTCCCTGGGAGGAATGCTCCCCTTTCAGGACAGGGAACATGCTTGTCTTATTCACCATTTTATCTGCAATATTAGCTGTAGCCCAAGGCCAGCACTCAAAAGGCGACAGATACGTGTCAGTTCACTTTTTTCTCCCTTGGACCCATTTAGAGTTAGCCCCCTATGACTGGTCCTATGGATATAATTAGCAAGCCTACTCTACCATACTGAGGATGGGCCGCACACCTAGCCTGTACTTGTCTGAAAATAGTGCTGGTAATCATGCTCCATTATCTTTCAAATTACATCAACACAAGCTATAGGAAATCATGGCACATGTCCTTTCATAGGAGCCCTTGGATTTTACTAAGAGTTTTCAATGCCATGAATGTCATCCCCCTCTTCACTGTTGACCTTCTAAATTTGTCTCCTTGCTCTTGACCCATTCTATAGCATTTTGAAACGTATATGACAGCATATAAACCACAGACATTACAGCCTAGTGGTGAAGTATCCACATTTTATACTCAAATGGCTCCCGCTTTACATCCCATCAGTGCCATAGGTTAAGTGGGTGACCTTGGGAAAGTTATTCAGTTCCTATTAAATCTCCTCCCATGTAAGATCAAGATCATAGTACCTCTGGCACAGAATTACTTTGTAGATTAAATAATATGATGCATGTACAACAAATGATCCTAATTATATTGAAGAAAATGCAGGAGAAGAAATATTATTAAAGGATATAGGTAGGGGCACCTGATTGGCTCAGTCAGTTAAGTGACCAATAGCTGCTCAGGTCATGATGTCACAATTTGTGAGTTTGAGCCCCGTGTCAGGCTCTGCGCTGACAGCAGAGAGCCCACTTCGGATCCTCCCCTCTCTCTTTGTCCCTCTTCCCCCTCTGTCTTTCAAAAATAAATAAACATTAAAAAAAATAAAGGATATGCTGAAGACATTGACTATTTCTCCTAGGTCACATATTTCTCTAGAAAGTTACCGAACCATTCCATGTTTATTTAGGAAACCATTCCTAAAATTGTACTAAGATTGTTTCCCATATATTCTTTTTTTTTAAACGTTTTATTTATGTTTGAGAGAGAAAGATAGAGACAGCACGAGCAGGGGAGGGTCAGAGAGAGAGGGAGACACAGAATCCGAAGCAGGCTCCAGGCTCTGAGCTAGCTGTCAGCACAGAGCCTGACGCCGGGCTCATACCCACGAGTCTGAGATCATGACCTGAGCTGAAGTCGGACACTTAACCGACTGAGCCACCCACGTGCCCATTTCCCATATATTCTTAGTCAAAGATCTCGTTTCTGTTGGCCACTCCCTCGGATGGCCAGTACCTTGAGGGGTTCCTAAATTTGATTCTCTATACTCTTCTCAAATGTGCACACGGGCCCTAAGCCTGGGTAGAGCTGAGCTGTAATACTGTGTTTCACCAGAAGTGGCCGCTGTTTGACATTTCCCTACTACCTAAGCTATTTCACAACTTAAAGCTCCAAGTGAGTGAACGCCCAAGAAATCCATTTTACAAATTGAAAATAGATTTAGTGTGTTGATTTGGAGAGGTGGCTTGCAGCATGGCTCTTGCCACATTCCGCCGGAGAGGAGCAGGTCTGGGAATACTTAACAATCCAAATCATGGTATACAGGACTCAGAGGAAGGTTTTCCTCCCTGAGCGACAAAGACTGGAGTATGCTTCCTCTCCGTTGTTGTGACAATCAGCTGCATACCAATTAAAATTTGGGGTTTGTAAACAGCCAGAAGATTCCCTTGGAGGGAGTAATTATATTTCCTTTAACATATAAGGCAAACAATTTTTCTTAAGCATGCTACGTGCTGACTGCAAAGTAGATTTGCTTTACTAGTGCTAAAGGAAAACCCTCAGGATGAAGGCAAAGAATTTTGGTGGGACAGAGATATTAGGAGGCCCATAAATGAGCAGGGAACATTAAAAATCCATGGAGTATTATTATTCAGGAGCCGAACTGGCTTGGCCCATTCAAAGAAACATGCATGATGAGATGTTAAGGGCATTGATGTTAAACTCAGTTTCCTCTTCTATAAAGCAGGAACAATAATGCTTCCCTAATAAAGCTATTCTGAGAATCAAATTACAAAACATACCTGAAGTGTCCAGAACAGTAGATACCCCAAAATAATATCGTATATTGTGGATGTTATCAGCCTCAAACCCATATCCCTCTCAAACTCACCGTTCCCTATGCAAGACAATGACTTCCTATGGAAAGCATCCAAAGTGCTGTGCTGGGCATTCTCTCAGCCCAGGTGCATGGGGGAGGCTGGAAGTCCCAGGGAGTTCATATATCCAGGAATAGCCCTTAGCCACGCAGAAAATTTAGTGATAAATACCCATGCCCTCGCTTCTTGGGTGGGGCAACTCTGACCCTTCCACAAGGGTCTCCTGTGGGTTTGAGTCCCCTCTGTGGCTGTGCTCACTTCCTAATTAATGCACCCTGGATTGGCTTCTCTGTCTCACTTTCCTACTTCCTGCTGGGAGCTTCCTGGGATTACCTCCAAAATAAACCACTGGCACTCAAAGTCTTGTTTCAGGAGAGAATCCAGCCTAAGAGCTATATTTCACGATAGAAACAGGCTTCCTAATTTGGGTTCATAATTGGGTTTACAATGACATGTTCAGTTCACTAACCAGCCTGGTCTATTCCGCTTCCTACCCATCCCCTCTTCCATCCCCCCAGCCACTGCCTCAACTGAGGCTCTTGTTATTTACTTGTTTATTTATGTCTGCACCATAGTCTCTGACTGACCTCCAGGCTTCCAGCAAGTCTAACATCTAATCTACTACCCACTTACTGCCAAAGCTATTATCCTAAAACACAATGATGCCATTCCCTGGCTTTTGTTTTTTTAAGCCTTCAGTGGCCTCCGTGATTATGTTTTAAATTTTATAACATGATACGTAAAACACTTCAAGACCTGGTTTGAAGCAATCTTTCCTCATAGTCTCCACTGATTGCTAACCCCAGTTGATACACAGCCCACACAGATCAACAGTGTCTTCTTTCACCTGTTAACCTTTCCATGTGTTTGAATGTGCTTGGGATCTTCCCCAGCTGAGGAACCTGGCTTATCCTTCAAGTTCTGGCTCAAATGTCTGCACCTCCATGAGGAGCTCTCCAGCTCCATGGCCAACTTCCCTCCTCTGGGCTACCCCAGTAGCATCTGCATTCACTGACTCATTCATTCATCCACAAGGGTGGTTTTTCTTCCGAGCATTTTCTACCATGCACCAATCATGTGCTAAGCCCCAGGGAAACCATGCTGGATAAAAGCAGAAGTCACCACTGCCCACAGTTGGAAAAAGGAAATAGACAGTAATTATCAGGTGATCATATAAAAAAAAATAATTACAAACTGCTATGAGAGTTTACCATAAAGGATGCAGACCCAACCTATGGAAACGAGGTTTCCATACCATTCACTCACTGTGTCATTTCCATTTCTTGGCTGTGTCCTTCCTGCCTCATGCTTGAGAATAAGCTCCTTAAAGGCAAGGACTATGTGTCACTGAAAGTCCTATCCACACCCGCACTTAGCACAATGCAAATACACAAAATTAATGTACCCATTTTATGGATGAAGTTGTTGAGGATCAGAGAGGTGGAATGAGTCGCCCAAGGTCCCAAAGGTGGCGGTGTTTGCGCGGGAATAGAATATACATCCACCACTCCTCTATTAAGAGGTTCCTCTAAACAGCCGAAAGGCAATCTCCCCGCCCCCCATACCCCCCTCCAATACCCCCTCCTGCCCGTCGTTTTTCTAAAAAGTCCAAGTTTCTCTATAAGCTCCTTTTCAAAGGACTCATGACAAAACCCCAAAAGCCAGTTCCCGGGTCGTGGTGTGTGTGTGTGTGTGTGTGTGTGTGTGTGTGTGTGTTGGGGACAGGACGCACAATGATCTTCTGGTGGTCAAAACAAAAAGGATCCTTTTCTGGTACCGGATTCTTTTCTGACTCCTCTTTGATGGCTGGAAATGGTGCGGGTGGTGAGAATTGGCCGTCACAAGAGCTCCTGGTCGGTAAAGAGCATCCGTGCGCTGACCCCGACAGTCTGGAGTGAAAGAGACCCTGGTTTAGACTCTTCAGGGGGTAAGTGGGATTTCTCGTTTCCTCCTTCCCTAACCTTTTTGCCCTTCCAGCCAGCACCTGCGATCTGGGAAACTTGCCCCGTTTCCCGTCTTAGCCGCCTGCCCCCGCAGATCCCTGCGAGAGGAGGCAGCCCTGTCTCCGGGAGGCATCCTCCAGGCCCAGACATTCGTCTCTGTCCATTTCCAGGCGCCTAGCCTGCGCCGTAAATAACAAAGTACTGCGCCGCCCGCGTAGGACAAGGCGTCCTCTTTGCGTGCTTTATTCACGAGTCTTGGGCAAGTCTGGGCTCTGGGGCTGCGATCGAGAGCCCCGTTTGAGACTGGCTCAGGAACCGGAGTCGAGGCTTCGCTTGGGCAGGGAAGAGTGGCGGGGAGCGAGGGTGGGGCGAAGGGGTGGGGCCGGCGGGGGCGCGGCTCTTACGAGGATTACGGCGGAGGCTGGGGCCCTCCGCGCGGCTCGCAGAGGCTGCAGCCATTGCACAGCCGAGCATCCCACATTCAACAGGAGGAGCCCGCGGGAGCCGAGCCCGAGCCCCCCGCGCCGCAGCCGCCGCAGCCCGTGCGCCCCGCGCCCCCGAGCGCCATGGCCAAGGAAGGCGTGGAGAAGGCGGAGGAGACGGAGCAAATGATCGAGAAGGAGGCAGGCAAGGAGCCTGCCGAGGGCGGCGGCGGTTCTCACCGCCTCGGGGACGCCCAGGAGATGCGCGCCGTGGTGCTGGCCGGCTTCGGGGGGCTCAACAAGCTGCGGGTCACCAGGAAGGCCATGCCCGAGCCGCAGGACGGCGAGCTCAAGATCCGCGTCAAAGCCTGGTCCAGTATCCGCGTCTTTCTCGCTTTCTCTCTTTGCGCGCTCGGCGCTCCCGGGGCGGGGGCGGCGGAGCCTCGGCGCGGCCGCTGCGCGGGCAGGAGCGGCCGTGGGCGCCCCCTCCGCGCCCTCCCGCGGGTCCCAGAGCCTCCCCGTGGCCGGCGGCCGGCTGACGCTGCGGAGGGTGCCGCGAGGTGGCCCTCGCCCTCTCCAAGCCGGAGCTAGGGGTGACCAGAGGGGACTGTGAGCTCTCGGCGGGGAGGAACAGGGTGGATGGTGGCGCCCAGCGCCCGGGGTCTGGAAGACTGCGCAGCGAGGGTCTCCGTCGGTTAGGACAGCTCAGCTGCCGGGAGAGGGAGTTTGAGAACACGGTGGAAGAGTGATAATAACCTCCGGATGACTGTGTGCCAGCCATCGTTTTTAGAGTTTTGGCTACTGCGATCTTATTTAATACTGCCTGGGACCCAATGAGTTAGTTAGGTACCGTCATTGTCCACGTTTCACAGGGCGCAGAAAGAATGATTTGCCCAAGATCTTCCTGCCGCCATTCACTGACCTGGCCAGGATTTGATACTCTTAATTAAGCCTCTATGCTGTAGTCCTGCTGGGTCTGGCGACCGAGTGAGAGCTGGGGAAGTGCGGTCTCCCTTCGCACTCCTGCACTCTGCCCCTCTGGGTATGGGGAACGGCGCCGGGTAGCTGGAGGGGTCGGGGGGTTAGGTCCTGGAGCCTCTGAGCTTGGTCAGGGGTGAGGCCAAGGCTCCCTCTTCCCCGCCAGCGCATTCTCTTCTTCTGTGCTTCTCCGAAGAGGAAAAACAAACAACGGGTAGTCTTCTCCCCACATCTCGAAAGGAGCTCAGCAGTCTGAGTGCCTTTCTAGTCCCCACTCCTCCTGGGGGAACTTCTGAGTTAGGCCCGGCTGGGATTCCCCTCGAGCGCCTAACCCTCTCTCTGTGCTGTCACTCTGTGATCCTTTCTCTGAAGTTCTAGGAGGCAGGGCTCAACCCAGAGCGTTCACTGGATCCAAGCTCTGAGTTCTTTATGCAGCAGGGCTTCCCACGGGGAGATTTGCCCTCAGCACACTGAGACAGACTTCCCTTTCTCGTGTCCGGGTTTTAAAGTCCCCAGCAGACACCGCTCCCCTGAAAGCAGCAGTCAGCCTACCTGTCCCTAGGTTAAATCCCAGACCTGGACTCTGGGAACAGATGCAAAGAAAAATGCAGAGGAGATTCTCTCCCAGTCGCTGCTTTAAGAGCAGATGCTGGACTCCCGTGGCTGGGTGGAAGGCGGCTGTCAAGAGAAGCAGGCACAGGTTTCTGATTTGCTTTTCATACATGTAGCTGGTCATAGTCGACTCCAAACACGACTTTTGGGAATTCAGGGTAAGGGAAGAGGCTTTTGCAAACTGGGGGATCCTATGCAGTTCTATTTTGTTAACGCTGCTGAACCAAGCTGATTGATCCCAGAAGGCAGCACTTACATCTGCCCTTTTCACCAACAAATCCCCAATGTGTAGCATAGTGCTTGGAACACAGTCTGTCCAGCATCAGTTACTGCTGAAGGACTAAGTTATTGCTGAATGAATGGATTGAGTAAAGACGCTTGGACGGGGATGATAGAGTCATTATTTTTCTTAACTTGCAGGTGGAGGAACATCTCGTAAAACTAAAACTCTGCATTGGTAATTCTCCTTTCTCTACCACTGATTAGAAAGATGATCTATACATGGATGTGTATATATAATTTATGACCCTTCATCCAAATAGGATTCTAGGACTTTTTGTCAGAGGGTATGTTCAGAGAGTAAAAATGTTGAAGCTACTTTTTAAAGAAAAGATCATCATTTGCAGTACAAATAGGTCTGGGTTCTCTAGTCTTATGCTAATTGCATAGAGGCTGGTAGGAACTGAAGCATTTTGAAATAATAAATGTCAAGATGAAAGCCAGGAGATTGATTTTCAAAGCCAGATGCACAAGCCTGTTCTTTATTGGAGCTGCGCACACGGACACACACACACACACACACACACACACACACACTGAAATCACTGCAGATTCCCCACCCTGGTTGTTCAGTAAGCCAACCAGACATGGGGGAACATTTGGAATCCAGTATTGCAAGGGGCCCGGATTGATTGTCATTTCCCCAAGCTGGAAGCAGAGTTAATCGGTTTTGCAAGGGGGGATTGAAGTCGGTTTGAGAAGATTGCCCGCTGGGCCATTCCTCCTACACTGGGCTAGGATTGGCTGGCCAAAGATGCCCACTGATTGTAAGTTTGGCCTTGGAAGCCTGGATGACTCATTCTGTATTTTTATGAATCAGCTGATGGCTTCCTGGATGAAGGTCCCCCTTTTATGCGCTCTCTGTTTTTAATGGAAACCTTTTATCGTCAGATAGGATATGCTATTTGCTTGGGAATAAAGCCTGGTCCATCTGAACTAGTATTATTCAGACCTCAAATGACTGTCCAAGTTGGTTACTCCATAAATTGTTGGGGAATGGAAGAGAAGAGGTACAAGGAAATGGATATTTGATCTCATTTACCCCTTCTCATTGATGGTGCAAGAAGATAGATATTATAGTAGAGCAAACTGAGGCTTGGAGATGTTGAGTAATTTGCTAAAAACGTCACACAGAGAGTACAGTTAGGATCTGAGTCCTTGTCTGCTATTTTCCTTTTATTCCATTTTGTCTCCCTCTGTGAAAGAGTCACCAGAAATGTGATTTACCTCTGTCTGGACCTTTGGCAATGCAGTGCCAGCTTGCTTGCCTTCCTTTCTTCAATGAATATGGCTCCTTTGATTTTTTTTATGTCTGACTTAGGAGAACATTCTCAGGCTATTCCCAAATTAATATGGCTTTTCTCCCCAAATGGAGACATGACGGTCAAATGCAGCTCGAAAAGAATGAGTGTCCATTTTGGGGAGGGCAGAGTGGGAAGGATTACAGAATCTTCTAATGTGTTACAAGAGCATCAGCTCTGATGGGGAACTGGTGCAGTCAACCCTTCATTGAGCAATTTACACAGCAAGCGGTTTAAGTGGCCATGCAGAAATAGCACATGGCCTTTGGAAGAAGAAGAACCCAGATGTAGGCCCAAGCCCCACCACTGTCTATCTGTGTGACCTCGGTGGTCACATGTCAGCCTCTCCAAACTTGTGACGCCTCAACTGCAAAACACAGATAAGATGAACCTCATGTAGTTGAGCGAGGATCAGATGCAAGAAAGAGACTGCCACGAAATAAGTAGTAGTTGTTGTGACTGTTACCATCACTGTTGTCATATCTATGCCTATATGACTTACTTCTTTGATAACTTGGAGGCCGCCATTTTAATCACATATATATTATAGGCAACGTCATGTCACATTTGGTCTTTGATGAAGAGTGAGAACGTTCTAGACAGGAGTCCCAGCCCTGCCTCTTGCTAACCATAGGTCATGGGTCTTGCCACCTTGAGGCAGAGCCTGAGACAAGGATGCTGTCCTAGGTGGTTGATTGAGGGGGTGCTTTTGGGAAAATGGGAATAAGGGGAGCAGGACAAGGAAGGAGCTAAGCAAGGATTTCATCTCCCCTCGATCCCGTAAGGAGTTCTGGGCATGAATTACACCTTAGAGTCAATCTGGACTCGAAGCAATAGGGAAAGCCCCACCCCTATCGTCGGTGGGGTCTGGGCCGCGGGATGCCTTCTGAGTGGGGGCATGGAGCCTCTCAGGCAATGGTGACTTCTGTTTGAGCGCTGTTCCTCTGGAAGAGGAAAGGAGGTGAGGGGACTGCACTGAGCCATGAGTGGCCGGCACTCCCAGCTGGTGGGGGATGGGTGTGCTGCCCAGGCAAAAGGGATCTGAGTGTGGGACAGACATCACCCTCTATGCTGGCTGACCTTGAACGTGTTGCTTACTTCTCTAAACTTGAGCTTCTTGGTCTATAAAATGGAGATAATAATAGTACCTCGCTTTACAGTGTTGTAATCGAGTTTAAATGAGATACAGTGTACGAAGACCTTTTTGGTGATGCGTGGCATAGGCAAGTGGTCAATAAATGATAGCTATTATTACACTATTTTTCTTGGTTTCCATAGCTACCATCTACAGAGTATCATTCAAATTGGAACTTTTGGGGGCAGTAAAGGGGGACTATTCATAGTTACTCTGGGCCAGCAGGAGCAGACTAGAACTGTTCTAGGCAAACCAGGGTACGTGGTCCCCCCATTAACTGCTAAGGGTTCGATCAATGCCTTTGCTGCCAGAAGTCTTGTCACAGTGGGGCTTTCCTTGGACAGGAGCTGGGAGGATTTGAGGCTGAGGGTCTCCAGGCTGGGCTGTGGAAATATATTTAAGTGGCCATTAACAAGCCTTGTCTCTGGTTTGTGGCTCAAATTGGCTTGTGATGGAAAGGCACTAATGGATTGGGGACATTTATTTTCCCAGACTGATTTACAGAGAGAGGCCACATGAAACTGCTAGAATGAGAGCAGTTGGATGAAAAATGGTCCCAGCCGGTCATGGCTACATTGGCTGATCTGAAAATGGGCAGAGGGCAGGCCACACGAAAGGAAAGCCAACACACGGTGGGCTTCTGACATGTCACGAGGGTGGCGTGCATTGAGCTATGGGAGGGAACTGACAGTTACTGAGCACTTGTTAGGGGCCAGGAACTAAGTTGCCTGCTATGTACTTTGTTTCATTTTATCCTAAAGACAACTCAACAATATCAATATTACTATCTCCATTTTAAATCAGGAAACTGATATTCAGAGACATGTTAAGATCACACATTGCTACGTGGAAGAGCAGTGTAAAAGTCTACGTCAGCTTTGTTCCTGGACTCTTTATATTTGGGAAAATCAGAGAGATTCAGCCACAAAGGCACAAGACGGAAAGGACAGAGAGACAGTAAGGGACCGAGAGGTAGACAGAGGCAGACAGACACAAAGACCAGAATCAGGAATACAGAGAAAGAACCATGAATGCATTTGACTGATTTGAAGCATAATGGATAAGA